TCTGGAGGCCAGGTCTACCAACATAGTGGACAGGGGTGGGCAGACCTGTTCTCTGAAGACCTGGTCTACCAATATAGTGGCAAGGGGAGGGTAGACCTGTTCTCTGGAGGCCAGGTCTACCAACATAGTGGAAAGGGGTGGGCAGACCTGTTCTCTGGAGACCTGGTCTACCAATATAGTGGCAAGGGGAGGGTAGACCTGTTCTCTGGAGGCCAGGTCTACCAACATAGTGGAAAGGGGTGGGCAGACCTGTTCTCTGGAGACCTGGTCTACCAATACAGTGGCAAAGGGTGGGTAGACCTCTTCTCTGGAGGCCAGGTCTACCAATATAGTGCAAAGGGGAGGTAACCTGTTCTCTGGAGGCCTGGTCTACCCCCATAGAGGACAACATTTTCTGTCATGAAATTTGACTTGATTCTGTTTTCTCTTATAATGTTTACATTATTCTTAAAATATAGTTAAAATATAGTTTAAAAGAATGAATTCTGTGATTTTTACAAGCCTATGGAAATAATTTCCTAAAAACTAATCCATGCGATAGTCAAATGTAGACTCGTTCACAACTTTAATTGCTCTATTTCCACCACCCCCCGCTCATGAGGTAGAATTTTTGCTCGCAACGCTGTGGAGAGGGAACATTGGTCACAAGCCCTGGGCTTCATCTTGGGGAAAAGAGACTAGGTTTAAAACCATGTTTGGAAGACCTTGGAAATCCCTCTTTTTCTAGGAGTGAATCACTGCCTCTCCCCTCGCAGGTTTCCCTTTGGGTGCCACTGTGCAGGGGCAGACCAAGGGCATCTGGATGTGGTGCCTTCCTCACCCCCGCAGGCCCAACCACACGCTGGTGTTGCTGGACACGGAAGGCCTGGGTGACGTGCAGAAGGTGAGCGGAGGGAGGCGGCAGCGGAGGTGGGGGCGGGACCAGCCACTTCAAAACTGTCTCGTGGAAGCATATACTGGTGGAGTTGCCAACTCTGGCTTACGAAATTCCTGGAAATTTGGAGATGGACCCTGGGGAGCCAGGGGTTTGTGAAAGAGAGTGACCTCAGCGGGATATAATGCCACCCTCCAAATAATAATGCTTTCGATTTATTAATCGCTTTCCCCACAAGTGGGCTCAAAGTGATTTACAGTTACTCTTTAGACAGAGGACTAACAATGTTTCATAGGGGATAGGGAAGACAACATATATAATTCATTTAATTGCACACGCCATAACTGTACGGTGCAAACGTCTCTGGCTTGGCTCAGTCATGTCCCAAACAGCTGCATCGACCGGCTTGATGACGTTGGGGCTTCAGGACCCGTATGTCGTGTCGCCACACTGCCACCACTTGGCCGGAACCTCCCACTGCAGGGATTTTTCGTAGCTGAGTAGATTCTTCTGCCTTCCGTATCCTGGACCAGGACGTCCCCAACCGACAGCTAACACCTTCCCAGAGGGGAGTTGGTGTGCCCACCCTCTCTAAGGAGTGGTTCCCATTTTATCTACTCGCCGAGGCTTTCGAATCGCTGGGTGGACGATGAGCTGGGGACGTCCTGGTCCAAAGCAGCCATTTCTTCCCAGGGAACTGATTGCTGTAATTTGGAAATGAGTTGCAACTCTGGGAGGACTCGAGACCCCACCTGGAGGCTGGACACTCCATAGGGTGGTTGCTGTTTTTGCGAGTCACGTGACATAACTTCATCACGTTTATCCGGAGCGGTTCTGTAACAGACAATCTAGTAAGGGGAAGAAGAGCAAGATTCTAGTGTTCGAGTTTGTCGAGCGAAACCAGAGTGGTCAATGCACGGCACACGCAACATGCAATTTAAAGGAATCTTGGGATGCGAGACCACAAAACGTTTGTCTCTGTTTCAGGGCAACACACAGAACGATTCCTGGATCTTTGCACTGGCCATTCTGCTCAGCAGCACCCTGGTCTATAACAGCATAGGCACCATCGACCAAGTGGCCCTGGAGAAGCTGCAGTATCCTTTTGGTGCATCAGAAAGTGGACGTGGGCTCTGGTGGGCAGCTCTAGGTGACTGGCTAGGGCAGCACTTTATGGGAGGCAGTAGCAGGGAGAAGGTTTCCCTTTGAACTTCAGAAGAACAAGTGATTGGATTTATACCCTGCCCTTCACTACCCGAAGGAGTCTCAGAGCGGTTTACAATCTCCTTTCCCTTCCCCTCCCCACAACAGACATTCTGTGAGGTTGGTGGGGCTGAGAGAGCTCTCTTGAGAACTGCCCTTGAGAGAACAGATCTGAGAGAACTTGTGACTGACCTGAGGTCACACCAGCAGCTGCATGTGGAGGAATGGGGAATCAAACCCGGTTCTCCCAGATTAGACTCTGCGCTCCTAACCACTACACCAAACTGGCTCTCTTCTGAGCCTGAGGAACACTGGGGGGGGAAATGAAAGAAAGACTTGAGGGTAGGTGGCTGTCAGAGCCAAGTAAAGGACAGAGAACTTGCCAAAGGAAGGAGCTGTGTGCGCAGTTCCTTGGTATGATTGTTGAGACTCCTTGGAAGGGATGGGGCACACTGAGAACCCCAGAAAGGGGGGGGGGGATTGGGAATGCATCTTCAGCAGATGAGATCAGTGATGCTAGCAGGGTTTACAGCCTCCCAGAGAAAGAAGACCCACTCAAATCGATGGTGAAGGAAGTGCTGCCTGCACATGTTCAGAGGCCTTTTTAAATCTACCAGCCATCTCCTATCTGGAAAGAGAGCCAAAATAAATCAATGATTTGGCTGGTTTGTGAGGGCCCAGGGACAATGTTCAAGTCTTTTCCCTTAGCGAGGTCCAGCTATGTAACTGAGCTGACCAAAAAGATTCATACGAAGTCTTCCCAGCATGGCCAAGAGGAGGAGAACTCTGCCGAATTTATCCGCTTCTTCCCTGACTTCACCTGGGCCGTGAGAGACTTCACCCTGCAACTGGAGATAGACGGGCAGCCCATCAGTGAGGATGAGTACCTGGAGAATGCGTTGAAACTGCAAGAAGGTGAGAGGGTTTGTAGAGCTTGCGTTTCATCCTGAGAGAAGAGAAAGGGGGGAAAGTGCAATGCAGACCCTTCAAAGCAGCCATTGTTCCCCAGAGGAACTGGTCTCTGTGGTCTGCAGATCAGTTGTAATTCTGGGAGATCTCCAGGCCCCACCTGGAGGTTGGCAACGCCAGCAGCAGAGTAACCCGGAATGCCTTTCGCTAGACACCTGGCAGGCTCTCCGCTACCACTAGTCAGGAAGTTTAGCTGCTGTTGTTTTCTGTGAAAAGTAAAAGCTTCCAGCTTACCTGCTTGGAATCTGGTTTGGCTAAAGAACTGTAGCCAGGCCAGCAAACTGTTCTGGCCTCAGAGGTACGCTCCTGCTATCTGGCCACTTATGGCAACACCAAGCCAAAGGGAGTAGGGTTGCCAAGTCCATCTTCCACCCCCAGCGGGGGACTTTGGGGGCATTTCTGGAGGGGGTGGGGCATCCCCGATGGGATGACGTCATGGTGGGGACGTCCGCACCCCCCCCCCCCGCGCGCGCGCACGCGGGCGCGCTCGCTTTCCCTTTTAAGTGCACGAAGCTGGCATTTCCCTGCAATCCTGATCTCAAGCAGAGATCGGGCTTGGGAGGAAACGTGACGGGTTCCACACACTTAAAGGGAGAGAGAGGGGTGGGTGTTGGGGGTGGGGCTTCCCCTGCTGGCCATCTGGCCGGCGGCGGGTAGAACCCCCCCAAAAAACGGGGGACCCCTGGCAAACCGGGGGTGTGTGTTTGGCAACCCTAAAAGAGAGTGGCCTTGAATTGCTGTAAGTGGTGAAAGGAGAAGGGACCAGCTCCCTGCTCAGTTCAACTGGGCAGCAGAATGGCCAAGGCAGGCAGGTCAGATTCCATGCCTTTTGGTGAAAGATGGTGAGGTCAAGTTCCCCCCCCTTCCCCCCCAGTTTTCTGCATTTTCCTCCTTGTTAAGTTCCTGTTTCTTCAAGGTCCCCCCCCCCGTTCCACATGTGTTTTGCTCCCTCTAGTGGCCAAACCTATATTACACTATTTTTGTCCGGCATGTTTCCCTGCAGATTTAACTAAACCATGGTTTAGAACAGAGCGCTCCTTTCTGTAGGAGTCACTGTCTCTCTATAGGTCTCTCTCTTGAAGTGGTCCCTGCAGCCACGCAGCAACTGCGCAGATCTGCTTCTAAAAAAGAAAAGAAAAAATGAGAGCCCAAATGGCCTGGGAATGGCACTGTGGAAGGGGGAAAGGCTCCTGGCCTCCTCACCCCAGCAGTTTTCTCGTGCACAAAACTACAATTGTTTTGCTTATTTTGCTGTTCCATGTCGAGTATTAACCCAGGGTTTTTTTTAAAAAAACCCTTCAGAAATCCATGCATTTTGCCATTGGGGTGCATTGGACTTTGTCTCGGGGTAGAAATATACCCCAAATACAATACGTATACTTTTTTCCAGGGCTGTCTGAAGGTTTTAAGCAAACACATTGTGACTGATATAGTTTTCTCCTCTCTTCTCACCTTTCTTTTCTTTTTCCTTTAGGAAACAGCGAGCAAATCAAGCAATGCAACATGTCCAGATTATGCATCCGCAAGTTCTTTCCAACCCGGAAATGTTTCACGTTTGACCGTCCAGCGAACAGAAGGAAATTGCATCAGCTGGAGAAACTGAAAGAGGAAGATCTGGAACCGGACTTCTTGGAAACAGCGGAAAAATTCTGCGATCACATCTGGAACACCTCCCGACTCAAGACAGTTCCAGGAGGCCGAGTTGTCAGTGGAACAAGTGAGGAGCGTTCCTGAGAAGTCATAGGTTGGGGCTAGTAAACCAGTTTGGTGTAGCGGTTAGGAGTGCGGACTCTAATCCGGGAGAACCCAGTCATGGCGACTAGAAATTCGCTTTCAAAAAGGAAACAAAACCTTGCGTGCTATGTGTATGCAAAATATCTAATTCCGTTCCTGCATCAAAGATCCACAGATATATGCCAATCCATGGCCACGACTGTCTTGAGAGCCAGTTTGGTGTAGTGGTTAAGTGCGCTGACTCTAATCTGGGAGATCCGGGTTTGATTCCCCACTCCTCCACTTGCACCTGCTGATGTGACCTTGGGTCAGTCACAAGCTCTGGCACCGCTGTCCTTGAAAGAGAGCCATTTGTGTCAGAGCTCTCTCAGCCCCACCCACCTCACAGGGTGTCTGTTGTGGGGAGGGGAAGGGAAAGGAGTTTGTAAGCCGCTCTGAGACTCCAAGTGAAGGGCGGGATATAAATCCAATCTCTTCTTCTCTTCTCTTCTTCTTCTTGCTGCCATTCACAATCATGGAAAGAGTAGTGGCGTGTAAAAGGTTCTTGGTGTAAAGGATTTAACCAAGAAATTGTCGTATAGATCTACAATCATATAATTCTCCGGCTTGGCTCCTCCCTCCCTTTGCAGTGCTTGCAAACCTGGCAAAGAGCTACGTGGAAGCGATCAACAGTGGGCAGGTGCCTTGCTTGGAGAACGCCGTGCAGGCCCTGGCTGTGATTGAGAATACAGCTGCTGTGCGTGAGGCCATTTCCCGTTATGAAGAGCTGATGGAGAAACGGATGAAGCTGCCCACAGAGACGATGGAAGAGCTGCTGGAGTTGCATGCCGAGTGTGAGAGGGAAGCCACGGGAGTATTCATGGCCCGTGCTTTTGGGGACCAGATTGGTCAATATCAAGGTGAACTTGCGGTATGTTCCCTTTTGTGGCTTCTCAACATCCTGCCATCCTATTGCTCTTTTCCCTGGATGACATGACAGCAAACTAATAGTTAACAGTTGTGCTGTATATGTGATCATCTCATTGCATGGTACCTCGGGGAAGGGATGTTTTCTGACTGTTACCCGCACACTTATTTATGGATCTTCTTCTTTGTTTTGGTAGCATAAGTTGTTAGAGAAGAAGAAGGAGTTCTGCGCGAGAAATGAGCAAGAGTCTTTGAACCGCTGCCATGCTGTGCTTATGGAACTTTCCCAGGAGCTGGAAGATGGGATCGCCAAGGGGATCTACTCTGTGCCTGGTGGCTATCAGCGTTTCTTGGGAAAGCAGCATGAAATAGAGGAGAAGTACCGCCTGGTACCTGGGAAAGGGATTCAGGTAGGGGAGCATGTAACTTTTATAACAAATTTAGAGTCCAGTGGCACCTTTCAGACCAACAAAGGTTTATTCAAGGTACGAGCCTTCGTATGCATGCACACTTTGTCAAATACATTGGAAAGGAAGCTGGATTTCAAACTTATAGACAGAGGCTGAACAGCAAATTAACACATAACGTGATGCTGGAGTTGCTTTAAGATATTCAAAGTGAAACCAAATAACAAGCTAAGGTTATGAGGTCAACAGTTGTCTTGATTTAATTAAGAGGGGGAAAGGACAGCAAAGTAATAAACATGTCAAAATAGGGGATAAATGTGAGAAGGCATCTTTGCTAATTGTGGGAAGTAAACTGATTTTTGGGTGGTTTTTAATTTTTTTTTTATGTTACCAAGTTATCTGTGATGCCCGAGGAGGGTATGTACTGGTGCCAACTGAGGGCATATCCCTCCCCTAGGGATCCATGGGAATTGTAGTTCTATGAGGCAGCAAACTATCAGCACCACCTAGCTTTCCCAGGCTGCCCACTATGCTGGGCGATTTCTTGCTGCTGACCTGTGGAGGAGTAGGAGCAAAACGGGTGTGTGTGTGGGTGTGGGTGTTGGCATCACCATGTTGAGCAACACTCTAGGAATCCTCCAGATCTTTATGGTTTTTAACATGCAGACTCCGGGAATTTATAGAGCATCATGAAATGTCACTTCCAGGTACCAGCCCAGAAGTGATGTCATGACGCTACACAACTTCAGATTCAGCAG